TGGTACCAGGGATTGAACTCAGGTCCTTGCGCTTGCAAGGCAGGAGGCAGAACCACTGAGCTAAATCCCCTGGCCAGTTTCTTTTTTCTATTAAGATAAAAGTGAACTTCCCTACTGTGACCCAAGCCCCACAGCACCGGGCTCTTGCTCTCAGTTTCTCTGCCTCATCTGGCACTACTCTCCTAGAGCATTTCGAGCCCCTTCCTTCCACAGTATCTCTTTCCTGGCTCCCTGTTCCAGGGACACTGCCCAAGGAGCCCTGTCTAAAGCTCTGACCTCGCCTCCAACACACACTCTGCTAGTACTGGACATTTAAAACCTGCTGTTGGTGCTAAATCAGAGACACTTTTCTTTGTCCTGTGCATTGAACTCGGAGATCCTCTGCATTTTGTAGTCACACTAAATACCCTTTGCCTTGCCTCACTCAGCTGCTGATAACAAGAAGATGGGGAGGGGGTGTCCTAGAGAGAGTGCCTTTCTGTTTTGGCCAGTAGTTTGTAGGTGGGTTTGACCTTGTGTTTCCAAATCATCTTTGATGTTAGTGCAAAACAACTCTCTCCCACAATCCTGCTAGGCTAATGCATCAGAGTCAAATCTGGAGGGCTCTAGATGATTTTCCAAACTTGATCACTACCATCTCTCTGACCCCAAATAGCTGAACTCAGGGGCCTTATTTCTTTCCTTTCCTTTTTCAGCTCTCTCAGAGTACAGAGCCAGCATTGGTGAATATTGTCTCTTTTAATATTCCCTTTCATTTGAGCCTGGCTTTCCCAGATTAACATATTTCATTAAGGGTTCTCTCTCCCTTTCTTCATCAAAGGGTTTGTGATGCAAAATATTCTTCTTAAAAACTAAGGATGTGGCTGGGGAGATGTCAGCGCCTTCTGCTCTGGGGGATCCTTGCTGAGAGGGGTCTGGGTGTCTGGTTTTTCAGGAGCTACATTCACCATAGAGGTGTCATAGCTTGGAGAAAAGGAGCATTTAGCTGTCTGCACTGGGGAAACAAATCCATTTTGTATCTCTGATTTTTTTCCCTGCACCATGACTTTTAGCGCCCCACCCCCCAGCACAGAGAAAGGGTTTCCTAGGTCACAATAGCAGCTCATGACATCCCAACACCAGCCACACACCTGCACAGAATGTCACCACAGAATGACATGCCATACAGGTCTGGCTCCCCCCACAGGGAACAGCACAGCCCCAAGCCAGCCCACTCATGAGGCAGCTGCTGGGCTTGGAGGGCCATCCTCAGATAATCCATCCCTGCTTCTTGCTTGCAAATGGGGGCAAAATGTGAAGTCTGCATTTTTAAATCGGCCCAGCGCCATCTGATAGATCTGTGTGGACGGTGCTATTTATCATTCAGCATTCATGTATTATTACTCTGCTGCCTGGGGCCTGGAGAAGTCAGCATGAGCAGCATGGCTTAGAAAGGGCAGACTTGGTAATTTCCCTTGGAAAATTAGTACGATGAGCAACATGGCAGAAAATCTCACAAAGGGATGGGGAGGGGGAGCACAGAAAGAAATCAGGAACAGATGGCTGTTGGGACCAAGGACGGTGTGGTCTGGGTGTAGGAGGAAGAGGGAGAGGGAATGGAGGCACATGATGGACACCCATAAAAGTTTTGATGGTGCTAAGCATTTTTCTTTTTCTTTTTTTCTTTAGTACTGGGATTGAACTCAGGTCCTTGTGCTTGCAAAGCAGGCCACTGAACCACTGAGCTAAATCCCCAGCTAGGCATTTCTACATATGGCGTCATGTTCCTGGAATCCTCACAGTGTCCTGACAGTGGAGTGTCACCGTCTCCATTTTATAGACAAACAAAGTGCTCAAAGACCTTAAGTACTTGCTAAAGGTCAACTCAAGTCTTTGTCTTTGGGGATGACTCTCACGCTCTATTACACAGGTGCAAGGAGGTGTACTTAGCCACACACACTCATGTATGTTCACAGCCCCTTCTTCCTTTGAGTCATCCTTCATCCCTTGCATACCTTCCTCCATTCTGATGTGGTACAGTGTATTACCCTTGATCGGAGAGTGTTGTATAATGGTTCTGAAAGTGTGTGTGTGTGCGCAGTGTATAGTGTATGCTCTCACTTCAACCGCATTGCATGTCCAAGGGCAGCATTCTGTCTCTTTATTTATTTTTCTCTACCATGTGGCTGGTGCATGATTTTGCAAAAAAAAAAAAAAAAGGCACTCAGTACATATGACTGACAAGACACACATATTTCAAAAAATCCCATGGACTCGAAATTGCCACATGAGGTATTTGAGCTAGAACGGGAGAGAGACTTAACATCAAAGGCTCACTTGAGCTTCATGCTATCTGCTTTCTCAAGGCCTCCAAGCAATCCCACAAGGCAGGCATTCTGTTCCCACTTTACAGACAGAAGCTGTGCTGTGCTCACTGCCTCTGTCTGCCTCCAGTGACAGCCCTCTCTGGTGTTCTCAGGAGGGCTGACTGCAGTGGTCCCACCTGAAGGTACAGCAAGGACTCTGGGTGCTGCAGTTTCTTTCCTTACCTGTGCTAAGTGCTTAGGATGGGGACAGTATCTAGCCAAGCTGTTGTCATCCCCCCTCTCCCCTCCCCACCCATCCTGCCATTGCTGGCTCTGGGCTGTGGCTGCCCCATATCCCGCAGGGGAGCCCAGAGGGGTCAGGGGAAGACATGTGAGAAGAGCCTCTCTCTCCCCTGGCTGCTTCCCCTCTGCATTGTCTCCCAATCCCAGATATGTGATGTTCTCAGCAGCGCCCTGCTGAGCAGCCCTAAGGACAGCTTTCCATGCATTAGTGTGGTCAGTGGTGGTGGTGTGGCAAGCAGGCAGCATGGGGGTGGAGGGCCAGGACAGAGGTGGAGGGGAGTGAGTGACAGCCCAGGCAGCTGCTACCCACCTAGAAATGAGCTTGGGGTGAGGTGGGGACATGGAGCAGCACTGCCACTGTTTGCTCCAGGGTGGCTGTGCCCAACCCCAGAGACCTGAGATTCGTGGACAGGTGTACTCAGCCTCTCTCCCTGAATCCTTTCCTTGTCACTTCTGCCCAGCTGCAGGCTATGACAGCCCCTGTCTTTATTTCTTGGATACAATTTCTTCTACTCACATCCTCCTTCCAAAGGTGCCATGTTAGAAGCTCAAGTCTCTACCTGAGAGCTCAGACATTGTTAGCTCAGACCTTCCTCAATAGAATAAGAGCTCAACTTGGGTACTTCCTGCCCAACCATGCCCAAAGTGATTTATAGCCTTAGTGTCTATGAAGTGCATCCATAAAACCTGGGCTGGGCCACCACAACTCTCTGCCCCACAGAGCCTCAGTGGCTGGGCCACCTCAGAGCCAGCAGGATCAACTCTCTTCCAAATTCTCTTCTTTCCAAACCAGGAGCACCCAGATGACCAGGCAAACTAATGATGTCCCCACAGAGAAAGCCACTGCCCTGAGCTCAGCCTCTTTAAATTGCTATAAAATAGATCTTCCTTGGGCCAGGAATTTAGCTCAGCGGTTTGGTGGCCTGTCTTGCAAGCACAAGGACCCGAGTTCAATGCCCGGTACCAAAAACAAAAACAAAACAAACAAAAAAAGATCTTCCTTGAGAAGCTTGGCCCAGGGACAACCCTAGAAAGAAGCATCTGACACCCCACCCTATCAACCCTCGGTCTGCATCCTGGGTTCCTAGCCTGGGCAATGGCTCTCCCTCTGAAAGTGAAAGGTGCTTGTGCTCTGGAGGGTGTGGGTGTGTCTGTCTTACACCAGTTCTTCTGGGGGCTGCCCCATCACAGCCACAGGGCAGGGTAGGGTGTGAGATGCCAGGAGCCATGGCAGGCTGAGCTCTTGCCTCCTGACTTGGCACCCACCTGATTTGTTCTTGTACTCGATGTCAAAGCCCGTGATGATGCTGTTTCCATCGAATCTCTGGGTCCAGCGCAGGTTCATGCTCCGGGCCTTCACTTCCCGGATCTCCAGCTCTGGGGGATCAGGGGGCTCTGGGATGTGTCAGGAAAGGAGATAAAAATGAGAAAAGCAGCAGAGAGCTTGGCTTCCTGCTTACCTCTAGGGGTTGATGTTACCAGTGGTCTAACCAAGGACTCTGAAGGAAGCCAGTAGCCTGGCTCAGAGGCTGAGGAACCCAGCTTGGTCTCTTGGCCTTGTCTCTCTTCTTGGCCTGGGGGAGGCCAAAAGGTACATGTCTTTTTGTCAGGGACTCCTCAGAGCCTCTGGCCTGCTTCTCCCCCAGCTGACTCTCAACTTCCCCAGCTGACTTACTTTCTCCTTGAGTCTGGGCTCAGCAGCCTTCTGGACTCTGCAGTGTACTCTACAGGGGTTGTGGCCATCACAAATAGTTGCTGTGCACAGAGAGTGCTAAAAAAAAAAAAACCTGTCTTCCTTCTCTGGGCGGCAGGGACATGGAGAGAAGCTTTTCCCCACAAGGCTATCCTGCCATTTTCCACTGTGGTATGGGTGATGCCCCTGCTTTTTGAGATGGATTTGGCTACTGCACCCTAGGGAAACAGGTGCTGAAGGTAGGGTGGGGGGCTTTACCTTGCACAGTGAGCTGGATCAAGCCCCGATCCTCCCCATATGAGTTGATGGCATGGCAGCTGAAGAACACAGAGTCCCCACGGTCAGCTGGCTTCAGCTGGGAGGCAGCCAGTGGGGGTAAGAGAGGGAGGAAACAGGAGAGTCTTTCAGAGCCAATCAGCTGATGGGGGCCGCCCAGGGGGATCAACAGTTAGGCCATCGCATCCTGGGAGGAGGACCCACAGGGGACTTGGTCAAGGGCTTCTCTTCCTAGAGAGTCCTAGCGAGGCGATTGGAGGGGTTTGTGTAGGAAGGGGAGGTGGGAGGGAGGGAGGAGCTAAAGGGTCCCGGGAGGGAGAATGGAGACCACAGGTTCCAGAAAGGAAAGAGGGGTGGAAGAATCCATAGGTGATGACTGTGGGGTCGTCGGAAAGAAGTTATAGTGAGACTCTGGGTAGACACTGAGTAGAGGGTCCTGGGTAAAGCGAGATGGGTGGGAATAGTAGGTGCTTTTTGGTGTGGGGCAGGCCCCCCAGACTCCCCATTTTCCTTCTTTGGGTGCAGATGTAATATGGTGGGCTCCCCACTCCCTCACAGTGTCCCCGGGGCCTGGGGCTGAGCGCTCACCTTCAATGTAGAGACAACCTCGTCACCATTGTCCTTCGTGGCGATGGCGTACCGCATGACTCGGTCGGGGTCGATAACTGTGTCTCCCTTCTCCCAGCGGATGATGATGGGCCGCTCTCCCCGGGCTGTGCAGTTCAGCTCCTTTGCCTGGCCCTTGATGGCGATGGTGGTGTTGGGGTGGGAGGTGATCATGGCCGGGACTGGGAGGGGAGGAGGCGCAGGGGGCTGTGAGGGTCTCAGGGCCAGCCTGGGGGAGGCGCATGTGCTGCAGAAGCCCCTCCCTTGGCTGCAAGGCGCAGCTGCCACTGCACCTGGGCTTCTTACATCCCTTAGCCCTCCTTATGGATGCAGTCAACTCGGTTTCAGAAATATTTTTACATGCACAACATACATGAAATTGAAAAAAGAAAGTGGTTATACAGAAATATGGTTATGCAAATATTAAAAAGCAAACTTTAGATATTGTATATCACATACAAGGGGTAATGGCAAAAGAGAGTGAGTGTTTAAATTTAAAATACCTTATTACAGGAAAAGACACATTGCCAAGAATTATGGGATAAGTTGCTCAAAGTAAGGGGTGTATTTTGAGGGCGATTAATGGCAGTGTGTTTTTTTACTGTAATAAATTAAAAAAATTAAACATTCACTATATTTTCTTTCTTTTCTTTTTGGTGCTGGGAATTGAACTTGGGACCTTGCGCTTTCTAGGCAGGCAGTGGCACCACTAAGCTAAATCCCTGGCCACTGAATATTTTCTTATCGCATCTCATGTCAGTATGTACTCTTCTCTACTGCTCTTTATGAAGTGAGATCTACTGGTATGTCTTATAATTACTGTGTTATTTTTACCACTCTTTTGTAATAGCGATAAGAAAATGATATTTTGAGATATCTGCAATAGATGTGATTGCACATGAAAATATCTATGGACTTCTATTGGTGATGTAGTCACACATTCTGTAGCTGCTCAGGTTTGTGACTTTGTTCTCAATAGAAGGAAGTACTAAACTTCAGTTAGAGGTTGATAGGCCTGCCCTAAAGCAGTGGCTCCACTTGGTTGTCTACTGAAGGCTTGTTTATTCTTGCCTTGTTCTTTCTAACAAAGTACTGTAAGAGGCCCCTGGATGGCATCACTGTGATCAAAATCTTCTGGAGGGCTAATAGGTCCTTACCCCATCTTGAACTCTGACCCAAGAAAATCACCGAGGAGCCACCAAAGCCCTGGCAGATCATCAGGAAGCTCCTCCTGCTGGCCTGACAAGAGACATGTCAGCCATGGGCCCTTCCTCTGAGCTGAGCACTTGGCCAGCAGCTGGGGGAGGGAGAGGCAGGGGTAAGGGGATACAAGTGTTCAGTGGGAAGGTCACTATATAGTAAATAAAGAGAGGCCTGCCCTTGGCTGCAAGAATAGATGCCCACCCCCACCTTTGGGGCAGAGCCCTGACCACACTGGGTTCTGCAGAGCAAAGACAAGCTCACTGAAGCTCATTATTGGCCATCTTTGGAAATAATGGTACTGTGTTCTTTCCAGGAATGGGGTTTCCATTCTACCCCTACCCCCTGGCACTGTGTCTCTGCTCCATCTCACTGGCTGGCCCTTTCTCCTCTTTCCTTCCCAGTGTCCCCAGGACTTCTCTCTCTTCCAGTTTTAGAGATCTGCTTAGACAAGTTCTTCCTGCAAGTTCTCCAGGGACATCGGACATCTATGGGCAAATGAGCCTTTGGAGAAAGGGAGGAAGTGATGGAACTGCAGTGATGTGACCTGAGACGGCAGTGGGTGGGTGAGGGGACATTAGAACAGGTGCAGAGGGATGGAGGGTGGCTTCTGGTGCCCTGAAGTCACACCATGCAGACAGCCACATCCTCTGTTGTCGCCTCATTGGGGATTTGATGTTGAAGCCAGGCCTGGCCCCGGGGCCTTGCACCAGTGTCTCAGTACATTCCCCAGCCCCAGCTCATCAAATAATGAAGCAGATAAATTTTATAATGCACGGCATTACACTAGGATATACAATAAAATGTGAAAGACAAATAACGAGGTGCAAGTTATAATGAAGAAAAAGCCTGCAGTCAGAGACACCGGAGTATGAATTATTGACTAAGGTTTTACACTCTCAAGGATGTGTGGAGGAATATTTTTCCATCAAAGATTTGCATAATTCACTCGTATAAACCTGGTTGGAATATAGAGTGAGATTTTACATCAACAAGTCGGGCCTTGCACTGCAGATGCCTCCATTTTTCGCTGGAGGATTGAAATGCTGGGGGGTGGGGGCAAACAGGGAGGTTTCTGCTCTTCCTGCAGTGAGACAGCTGGGGACTGGGACCTGGACCCTTGGGTGGGTTAGGCTTGGAAGGTGTCCTGGGGAGGAGAAATCTTGCTCCTGGGAGGCCACTGCTGGGCTGTGTGTGTGTGTGTGTGTGTGTGTGTGTGTGAAGGAGAGTGCAGACAGGGCCAAGCCTCAGTACAGGCCAGTCTAGGAAAAGGGGGTGGAGAAGAGTTTTTATTTGGGCAAAGGACTTCCCAGCTCTGCGCCAAGGTGAGGATCTCAGGGCACATTTCTGCCTTTCATGCAGCCTGCAGTAACCTGTCTAGGGTCTGTAGTGGGTGTGGTGTGCTTGGGCTAGATGCAGCCTGGTACCAGGAGCCAAAACGTGGCCAGTGGGGCAGAGATCAGGTTTCAGACCCTGCTTGCCCCTCAGACAGGCTATATGCTGTTGAGTAGTACACAACATGTATATCCATACACACCTGTCCTGCTACAGGGAATTTTCCAATTGGGGTTGTTCAAAAACACATAGGTAGTCAGGAACATAAGGGTCCCCAGAGAGCCCTGGCCTCTGATCCTGTGTAACAACCACACCTGGGGTCTCAGGCTAGCTCCTTCCACCCTCTCACTAGCGGGCTGATTACTGGGAAGTAAGTGCCCCGCCACACACCCAATGTTCTCACTGGCCCATCCATGGAGAAGAAGAGAAGATCTTAAGGGCTGGGGGTTAGCAGGCCTGGGTTCTGTCCTGTTAGCACCAACCATGTGGCTTTCTACACCCCACCGAGTGGCTGTGAAGACAAGGGGGTACATAGATATGTGCAACACCTAGCAGAGGCCACACGGGAATTCTGGGTCCTCTGTCTACACTGCTGGTGGGAGAGTAAAGTAGTACAGCCACTCTGGGGATCAGCATGGAGATTCCGCAGAACCCTAAAAATAAGACTACCATTTGACCCAGGTATACTCCTAGGTATAAACCCAAAGGAATTATACAGGCAGCGTACTGCAGAGACACCAGCACACTCATGTTTTTCACGACATAATTCATGATAGCCAGTTACGGAGTGAGCCTGAGTGCCTGTCAGCGGACGAATAAAGAAAAGGTGGTACATATACACAAGGAGGATCACCCAGACATAAAGGAGAATGAAAGTATGCCATTGTCAGGAAAAGAGACAGAACTGGAGATCATTATGTTAAGCAAAATAAGCCAAATTCAGACAGACAAGTATCACAAGTTTCCCCCTAATAAATGTTGACCTGAAATAGAAGGCAGACTATTGGACTAGAGGAAGGGGGTTGGGGGTAGGTATAATGGAAGTATATTATATGCAGGTATGAAAATACCAAAATAAACCCCAATATACTATATAACTTATAAGCACTAATAAAAACATACATATTGGGAAAATTCTGGCTTCTTTTCCTGCTTCTAGGCTCTCACGCCCCTCTCCTGTTCTAAGGAAAGCACTGGCTAAACCCACATGCACCAAGTTGTTGACTTAAGATGTCACTTTCCAGGATATGCCACAGAATGATAGAACCCTAAAGCTGCAGAGCTCGGATAAAGACCTGCAGTGCTAAGTATATAGCCTGGAGCCACCTGTGGCTGTTGGGCACTTGAAACATGGCAGGTCCAATTGAAATGTGCTGTAAGTATAAAATATGAACTAGATTTTAAAAATGAAGGAAGAAAAGAAAGAGTATAAAAATATCTCAGTGTATTTTACATTGGTCCAATGTTAATATTTTAGACATATTGAGTTAAATTAAATGTATTATGTTGTTATTATTATTATTATTATTATTATTATTATTATTATTATTATTATTATTTTTGGTACTGAGGATTGAACTAGGACCTTGTGCTTGCCAGGCAGGCAGCAGAACCTCTGAGCTAAATCCCCGGCCCAAATTAAATATACTATTACAATTAATCTCATCTGTTTCCTTTTTACATTTCTGAACACATGACAACTAGAAGATTTTAAATTGTGTTACATATATGGCAGGGGTATAGATGGTCTACCTGGATCCTTCCTTTTACAAATGGAAAAACCGAGGCTACCCAGGGAAGGAACTTGCCCAGGGTCACTATTAGCAAGCAGCAGGCAATTTTAAAAAATGGGAAGTTGGGCATGGTGGTGTGTGCCTGTAGTTTCAGCACCTGGGAGGCTGAGGTAGGAGGATTTCTTGATCCTAGGAGTACAAGGCTATCTGGGTAATATAGTGAGACCCTACCTCCAAAACAAAAAGAAAAACAAGATGGGAGATTGCAGTACCTACATAGCACCCAAAGATATTATATCACTAATGGTGGATAAGAAGACTGCAGTGGGAGACCTGAACCCCAGTTCTGTAGGTCTTAGAGTTAAGAGTTCAGACTCCCCAAGAGACATTATGTCTTGTTCTAGGAACCCCACCTGACAAAAGACACAACAAGGTGGGGTGTGGGAGGAGGACTCGAAGGCTCAAACTATTCTGAAAACTGGGAATATGTAACCCACAGGGAGCGAGGGAAGTGTAGGTAGATGTATATGAAATCACACTAGGACATTTGATGTGAAGTTGACAGTTACATCAGGTCACAGGGAGGTGGACATCCAGATACACTGTTTGACCTAAGAAGGAATTTTCTAGTACCTTCTGGGGTTTAAGGAAAGGGGAATTGGGAAGCAGCAAGCTTCCTGTACCAGTTGACAACCAGGGGCATCACAAGGAAGAATCAGGCAAACCCCTGCTCTAGGCCCTGTCTCTGGGCTCTTGGGGATGTCTGGATCTCAGAGGGGCAGAAAAGATAACCTGGGAAACTGGTTGACTCTTCAGGGATTACATGACTCAGGTCCCTTGTACATAGGGTCTTCAGCGCCTTGTTCTGGGTGAGAGACAGGAAACACTCCTTCCTTCATCTCCCTGCTCCACAA